AAAATTTACTTTTAAATAAATTCACTTACAAATTTCTTTGAAATAAATGAATTATAGTTCCTTTATATACCAAACGCATCCTGATTGATAGAAAGTTTATGGTGACATGCATTGATCAGTCAAATTCAAAAAGGTCCACATAAACTAGGCCCACCTTAAGTGAAAGTAATGGTAGAATAAATGATTAAGGCTTACAAACAAAATCAACTTTAAAATTATTGGAATTTTTAAAGCTTGGGCCATAATGGAACCAATCAAAAGGGTATTGCACTTAGGTCACACGATTCAATAATTATAAATTAATTTATAAAATGTAATATTTAATTTTCGAGTTAGGGTTTGAATATTCTCATTCCCAATTTATAATCTTATTAAAAAAAAAAACCAAAAAAAAACAAAAGAAAATCTATATAGCCTTATACTACACTAAATGGGAAAGGAAAGAGGGTGAAAGAGACACAGATTAAGTAGTTGCCTCATGGATGATTGCAACATTGAACTTACGTTCCACTCAAAGGGCCTCTTGGCCAGGCAATGTTATAAAAATGAAAATAATTTATCACTATATAGTTCAACATGTTTATCAATTAATTGGTTCAATTATTAAATTTTATAATTTTTTTTAAATTTAAACTTAAAAATGATAACTTTTTAATATATATTATATAATATATTAAATAAAAAATATATTAATTATTATCCTTATAATAATTACAGTACATTTAAAAGTAGTTGCCTCTCAATTATCGAGGCTCTTATCAAAATTGGCAGAACATGAGATGTGTTTTCCAGCTGGATAACAATGATGATGCCTGCAAGAAGTGGTGGTGTGATGGGGCAAGCTTGGTGATGGTTCTCTCAATTTGGAAGGAATTAAGAGCATGGTCACCATCAAGTGGACAAGGATTCGCAGCTGCCGTTTTCAAGAGTTCCCGGTGGTGAGTCACAGAAAACAAAAGTCGACACATAACATCAGAGAAGAAAGCTAGATAAATCAAATAATATGAATGTACCCCACAACTTTAGGTTGCTGCCTAGCCAAAAGCCTTGTTTTCATCAAATGTTATTCATTTTCATTGCAGTGCAGAAAAGACCACAGAGAGTTTAATTGTCACCTAAGCATCTTGCAAGCTTCCATTGTTGAAGATGCATGGTATCAAAATGGCTAACAGTCATGAACATTTTTAATAAGAATTGGTGGTAATTTGGAAATCAGAATAACATGTATCTCAATCAAGTCTCTGTTAATTTTTTCTCTATGTAGTATACATCTGTTGCCTATATAGATGTATGTATATATAAATTATTTAAGTCATGGGATAGTTTTCAAGGTTTTCTATACCTTTTTTGACAGTCTTTAGCATCTGATCTACATCATATATGCCTACTTGTCAATATCAACCCCACTGCTGTCTCCAGAAGTCCTGCTGTTACATGGTCTTTCATAATATAAGATACAAATGGTCAAGAGAATTTCTTCGAATGTTTGGGAGATTGATGAACCTGCAAAAGAATGATCTGACTCTACTACTTCACTTTGCTAGGATTCCACATGGAAAAGGTTTTTTGATCCATCACCTCAGTGATTTACAAGTTAACTAATTCCGGAGTAATAAAAATGAATAACGATGCTGTACTAGAAAAACAACTTACTAATTAAGTTTCATGAGTATGGAGCTATTCACTTCCCATGCTGTATAATTCAGTCTATACTTCCACTAACGAACATGTTCTAGTTTCAGCCTGTAAAGGCAATCAATCAAATTTCATCAGAGCAAACACTAGCGGTGATACTAAGTCCTCAGCTGTAGGAAATGTTAGAAAGTGTGAATTTGCAACAAGTCTCTCAGGGGATCTACAAAGCAATCAAACTGGTCTATCACCCTAGAGAACCATTCAATGTAATCTGACAGGTAATTACTTTCAGAGCAATAACTGATCTTTCAAAGTATGCACTTGAAAGCCTGCAGTCTATTAAAAGCACCAATGGAAGATTTGTCTCTTTTTGTGTACTCCCATTCCCCCCAAAGAATTATTCTTCAAGTCATGTTGAAGGTAGTAAACTAGATAACACAGTCTGGAGTCTATTAAATTTCTAGGCCTATGTGAAAAACCACATTAAGCTAATACTTTCCTGTTACAGCTACTGGGCAGACACCCTAAAATTGAAGGCAGAGATATACACAGTAATTACTTTAACGGAAGATATTCAATTCCCTTTCTGTTCTTTGTTCTCACATCAAAATGTATTTTAATTCATTGTGTCAACAACTCGATTAGTGCTCAAACATGCTAACTGCAACCAAACATTGTCAAATCTCAACAAGTAAATTAATGACACTAATTATCCAAGATCAACCTGCAGGTCATGCATACAGCAAACTCAGAAGGCAAACATATTGACAAGAATCGAGGTATGCATTCAGCTGATATGCCATTAAACAAATTTGATCATGAAGAGAAGCATAGCACATCTAGAAGCAATGGATGCAAAGTAGAAAACGAATCTAAGATGATGCAACCATTTATCCCTTACAGATGTGAGAGTTACAAAGATGGCATATTCTCCCCCATGAAATGATTTTTCTCTTGTAGTATTTAAACCTGTCAGCAGGACTCTACAAAGTGAAATTACAGTTTGTAAGTTCCTTAATTTCTTGGTCATAAATCATGACAAAAAATTTTTTCCCCTTTTTGACTTCAAGCAGATGCAGGATGTAAGTATGTGAGAAAAATGGTGAGGTTATCAAACTCTAGAAATCTCTATCCAGGATGTGGTGATTTCACAAAGAAGATAAAATGTATCCATTTCCAGAATGAACAAGCATCCAAAGGTCTGGAAAAAACTTTGAAACAAAGGAAATCTTAATTTGATTAGACGAAAAACTTTTCTCTATTTTCCTCAAACTAAAAATACCTGTAATATATCAGTATATGTTTAGAACACATACTCAGTTAGTCGTTATTGGAACCTTCCAAGTTCCCTACAATTCAAATGTTGTTCTAAGAACACTTTCAGATGCAAGAGTTAGAATTTGGTGCCTAATTCCATGTTGTCTGTAAAAGATCATACGAAGTCTTTGGAGTCTATGTCCACCGTCAGATTTCGTTCTGACAAAAGGAACGGTCAGGATCATCCCAAGTCCCAGGAAGAGCCAGTAGATTTCAAGATCTACATTTTCCAATCCTGGTGACATGGCCACATGGAGACCTTAAATTGCAAAGCGTATGTAACTTACACACGTATTTGATGAAAATCCCCAACGAAACTCCTGGGGCCACCAGTATGTGTGGTTCCTAAAGCTTCATGGACTTACCCTCCAATAAAAATAAACTAAAGGCTCTAGCTTTAGCACCAAAACATATCTTCAGAAGAGAAAAAGCACCCATAAGTTCTAGGCAACAGAAGAGAAGGTAGCCAGAGAGGAATAGAGGAGTTTCTGGTTCTTCTTCCATGGCTGCTTCAATTTCTGCAACTGGGTTTAAGGGAGGGTTAGGGACTTCCCTCAGTTGGGGAAGTTCGATTGCTGGAGAAGACTCTGCTTTGCTTGGTAAGGCAGTGAAGAACCATGTCCGGGTTCGAGTTGCAAAGCCAATAAGGTTTCAGCCTGTGATGAAGAACGTTAATGAAGGTAAAGGGCTCTTCGCACCTATTGTCGTTCTCACCCGGAACATTATCGGCAAGAAGAGGTTCAATCAGCTCAGAGGAAAGGCTATTGCCTTGCATTCACAGGTACTTTTCTAATTCCTCTAACGCTGCCCTGTGGAACACGCAGAAGTTTCTATTATAGCTAAAGTGGAACTGCTCTGCTGAATTGCCCTCTTCCTTGTAATTGTTGTTTTTCAGGTGATTACAGAATTCTGCAGGTCAATTGGGGCTGATGCAAAACAGAGACAAGGGTTGATTCGTCTGGCAAAGAAGAATGGAGAAAGACTTGGGTTCCTTGCATGATGAAGACCATATGTTCTCCATTTTGTCTTGAGCACTAGTAATGTTGTAGTTAATTAATAGATAGATCATTTCAATCACTTCATATAAAAATACCTTCTTCATTCGGGTTACCTTAAGAATTAGAATGTAAACCTTATAATCCTTCCCTTTCCTGTACTCTTCCTATCTCCCCTAGAAAGATAAAAAAATCTGAATGTGGATTTATTGTTGATAAAGTCAGATCTAAGCTTGCGGGATGGAAGTCTAACATGCTCTCAGTTGCTGGAAGAGCTACTCTCGTCTCTTCTGTTTTTTCTTCCATTCCTAATTACCATATGCAGCGTATGGTCTTTCCTGCCTCTATCCATAATGAGCTTGATGCTATCTCTAGAAACTTTATTTGGGGTTCTACCTCTTAGCAGAGGAAAGCCAATTTAGTTTCCTGGGATAGGATCACTCAACCGAAAAAAGTTGGTGGAATTGGTATCAGGGCCAGCAAAGAAGCTAACCAAGCTGCCTTGGCCAAGCTACACTGGAGGTTGACCACTGAAACTCACAAACCCTGGGCCAAAGCCTTTATCTCTAAGTACAAGGTCAAAACTCCCTATCATAATTTCTCTACTTCGTTATCCCCTGTTGTAAAGACATTGCTAAGGGTAGGGATATTATAGAAAGGGGCATTAACTGGATTCCTTGTGATGGCTCTAGAATTCTATTCTGGCAGAATAGATGGCTCTTGAAGGAACCTCTTTGTTCCATTTTTCATGGCCCTTTTAGACTGCATGATCTTAATATTACTTTGAAAGATATCTTGTTCCTTGATGGTAAATGGAATTTGGAAGTTGTAGCTTATCCTTTATCTCAAGACATCATTCAAAGAATTGTTGCTACTCCAATCCAAAAACATAGCTCTGAGCAAGATTCCTTTATCTGGAATTCATCTTCTAATGGCAAGTTTTCCATGAAATCTGCCTATTATATGGCCAAGAACATTCAATGGTCACAGGATGATACTTGGTCCTGGATCTGGAAAGTGAGTAGTGAGTACCATTCCAAAAATCCAATACTTTCTTTGGCTTCTTATGCATGGTAGGATTCTTACATTTGACACTCTTGCTCAATGGGGGAGTGGTTTCCAACAATGGATGCCCCAGGTGTAGTAATGGCCCTGAAACTGTTAATCATATGTTTAGCGAATGTCAATATGCTTCCCTGTTTTGGGACCCTATTGATCCTTATTCCAACTCTACTTACGATCAAAACCTTGACCTTGAAAGTTGGATTAAAGCCAATGTTTGCTGGGAGAACCCCAGCAATCTTGCCTTCTTCATGGCCTACTATTTTCTCTTATGCTGTCTGGTCCATATGGTATTCTAGAATTCAAACTTGTGCATGATAAAAAACAGATTTCTATTGTTGAACTCAAGTGCACTACTTTGGACAAAAGCTCAGGAATTCATCAGGCACAACCCTATCTGTACTGAATCTAAACCCAAAAACACCATTTCTGTGGGTTGGGTTCCCCCTCCAGCTGGTATTGCCAAAAGATTGATGGTTCTGCCCTTAGAAACCCAGGTATGGCCGGGGCTGGGGGTCTTCTTCGTGACCACCTTGGTAGGTGGATTATTGGTTTCTCATGAAATATTAGATGGACCACCAGCATTGCTGCAGAATTATGGGCTATTAGAGATGGTCTGAAAGTTGGTATTTCTAAAGGGTTTTTTAAGATTATTGTTGAAACTGACTCAAAAGTTGCAACTATACTTATTGGGTCTGCTTGCATTCACTTAGTGTCCTTATCTTTGATTGCAGATCACTTCTGGAATGCTTTTCTAATGTTTGGATATCCCGTATATGTAAGGAAGCAAATGCGGCTGCCAACTACCCGGCTATGCCATGGATTTTGTTTTGTATGAGAGCCCTCCTGGGATCTCTTCCATTTTGTTTCATGATTGTACCGGTACTGTGTTCCCAAATGCTATTGTAGCCGCTTAATCATATATATATAAATCTCTATTTACCCCAAAATTTAAAAAAAAAAAAAAAAGGAAGAAGAAGAGTCTGAAATATAACTTGGAATTCACTTTCAACATGGTTGTACATGATGAGAAAAATGGTATTCAGCGTCCTATGTGGCAAAGAGTCAAATGAATCATCCATCACAAGAACGAGCTTCATGATTTCATGGTAAATTTGGGAATTGAGAGAGGAGACAAACAAATGGCTCATAATAAGTTTCTCAAGAGTTTCCTATATTTCAACAGAGGTTCACATTAAAAGTGCAGTCTTAATACTAAAATTACTAAGTTACCCTTAATAAATAAACATAAGAAAAAGTTTCATTATGGGTATTTTAATAAATGTGCAGTCCAACTTAGAAAACACTTTTTTTGACTCAAAATGTAGAATGTCAAAAATATCAAAAAGAACATAGAATCTCGATAGTATTACAGATCCTTGCAGGCAAGAAAGGAAGCCCGGAATCTGGTAACAGAGTTACAATACTTTAGCCAAAATTTGGCAACACGCCTACCACCATTCTGCATCAAGGCCAACAGATCTTAGACAGTGTATCGGCTTTTCACATTCCTTTCTCTTCGGGAGTCATCCTGTGATATACAAAAGAGAGATGAAGTATAAGGGTTTGTAATCTAAGAACATAAATCATTGGCCAAAAACAAGAAAAAATTAAAGGTCAGTCGTGAATGAGGCTCACATGAAAATTGTAGGTCATTTTGTCAGTGACATCAATGATCTCCTTCCACTTTCTCCCAATGCTCATCTATATCACAATGTTCAATCAGCATCATAAACACGTGTGTTTACAATATTTTAGAATGAAATTAACACATATACAAGCAAATAAGTTAGCAGACTACTGCTGCCCTGATTCTTAGTAATAGTACTGTACTTTTTTAAGGCAAAATCCACATGATTTCAGATATCCGAAATAAATTTGTTAAGCAGTCACTGAACATCAATCTTAGTAGAAAAGTGCATAGCCATAAAATTTTTAGCAGAAAGACTAAATACAGAAAATTTTAAGCATTGTGCAGCAGAAACCAATAGTGATCTGATGAATGAAGAACAAATTTCAATGTAGATTATCAAATTATTAGGAGCTAAACCTGTAGAGCCTCATTGGTTGCCGTCTTGGTCCACAGTGCAAGTTTGTCCCCCCTTTGGCGAACACTAGCAACCACGCCACAAATGTCATCTGCCTCATTAAATTGCTCACCAATCAACGCCATCAACTATACCCAACATAAAATACACCAATCAGTCAGTGCTGGTAAATACCAACACACAATGAAACTAGCCACTATTTCATTGTAAGTGAAAAAATAAAATGATTAAGGTATCCAAGATGTAAGCAATTTACAGTTTCAAGCCACATAGTGTCAAGGTTAGCCTTTCTGTTGCTAGTGACAGTCCACTTTCCTCCATTAGCGCACTCAGGATCCTCCCATTTGGGTTCAATTCCAGTTTTGAACAAGTGGAAATCACCATTTCCAGGTAACTTGCTGGGCTTGAATATTTGATCATACAAACTGCAGAGTGCAGACAGATCCATAAACATAAAAAAAAATAAAAATTCATACAACTAGATAGGCTAAACAATAAGCATGACAGGGAAATCTAATTAGTTCAAACATGTACCATTAACGACGAATTGAAAATAACATAGCTCCAATGCAATATTGAGAATATAACAAAAGAAATTCTTGATATTTCCTTGCTTTAATGAGAAATGTAATTAGTTCAACCATGTAGCATTGCTTTAAAACAATGCTTGATCTGAGCTATTTGGCTTTTGCAAAACCTTTAAACAAAGGCAAAAATAATCTCCAAAACTTCAGTTTATTTTCTCCCCCATTTTTGCTTTCTTGAACTTCATAATCATATTCCAAACCCAAGATGCAACAAATTAACCATAAAAAATTCTGATAAAATAAATTCAATAGAAGCACCTCCACATCTCCATACTAGAAAAAAATTCCAAAAAATTAAGAACTAAAAAAAATAAAATCAAACAAAAAAAAACCCTAACGAAAGTAAGAAACTAATAGAACCAATATACAATCAAAGGAACCAAATTTGCAGTCATTTTAAGGCAGATCCAAAGGGCTATTCATACAAAGGGACATTGGCATACATGTGAGAGAAACAGAGGGATCGAGATTATACCACCAGAAATCTTCGACGGTGTCGAAGGTGTAAATTTGACGAAGAGAGGTGCCCCAAGCAGCGCCCTGCTTAGGCTTAGACTGGTTATCGAACCAAAACGCCCACTTCCTTTCGAGCTTGTGAGGCTGCTTCTCTTTGTCGGTCCCCGTCGCTGCCTCCGTCGCCGCCGCCTCAATCGCTGCCTCCGTCGCCATTGTGGTTTTTCCTTGAAGATGCCTTCTCTACAAAGAGGATGTGAAGAGAGAGATCGCTAGATTTTTGTTTCGGTTTTTATATGGGCTTGCATTGGTTTTGTTTGTTAAATGGGCCATTTCCACTTGGACCACTTATGGGCTGGGCGTGATAAAATGCTGACCGGAGGCTGTGGTAAAATGGGCTAACTAAATTAGACCAAATTTAATTCCGGCCTTCAAAAAGAACAGTCTCCCTTCCCCCTTTTTTTTATTTGTTAAATCCTTAATTTGGTTTTTCAACTATTATATAAATTTTTGAATTGATCCTTAAACTGAAATAATTCCTAATTTGATCTTTAAACGTTTTAAATTTAGCTCTAATT